GTATAAACTATATGCTATAATCACATCCAGTTCACATACCCTAACAGTAAGAATAAAGTGATTACTTGCTACTAAGAAAAGAGGATTTGTTTTGATGTGATGCTACAGCTTTTAGTTAGATATTAAGGGGTCTATACACTTAGTTGGAGTTCGACTCAGCCGACCCAACATCTGGATCGGCTCAGCCGAACCTCCGGCAGGCTACTCGCTGCTGTTCGGTCTATTCTCATAGATGCCAAACAGCAGTGAGTAAATAGCCGAATGCCCCTGAGTGGCATTCGGCTTGACTGTTCTGCCCGGTCCCTATGTAGAACTGAGCAGAATAGAAAAATAGTTTAAAAAGTAGAAAAAAATATTAGAAAACGATTGTGTCGAGCTAGCAGTGACAGCTAGCTCAGCCCAACTGTTTTCTATTGGCCGAGCGGTTCTGCTGCCGTCAAAAAAACAAAACACACCATAGGAATGCATAGCTAGATTCCTATTGGCTATTTCACTTTGCAATAGCCAATAGCAAACTAGCTATTGCACCCGCCCTCTGCTGTCAATCACCAGAGAGGGACCTGATGGAGAACTACAAAATACATGCAAACGATTATATATACATAAAAAAGTGATGAACATGAATGCAGAATAGTGTCACCAAGCCATTAAAAAACATTCTAACCTACTTTACAAATCTACAAATATAAACCTTATATTATTTGTTAATATTGTATATTTATCTCTCGTTAGATGTTTCATTATTTGTTTAATTGTGTAATTCAATATATATCAGTCTGATATGAAAACATTGTTGATGTATGTTTCCAGGTGACATCAACTTTCCAGACATATCCATCCTACACACCAGTAGGTAATTTATAAACCAAAAAAAGTATTTATTTATTTTTTATTTAATTTTCTATGCTAAATGTAAAACAGAATGTTACTGGGGATATCTGTATGTAGCAACACAAAAGTGTTAATTATGCCCCACCCCCTTTTTCCAGGTTCAGGAGGTGAAATTCCTTAGCAGGCACAATCTCCTACTATTATACCATCCATGTTGCACTAAGCCTGTCAGGCAATGCATAAAATAGCATTGCAAAGTTTTGCCGTTACTTAGTAGTTAGGTATGTGTATAGGGCCCATCTTTGTTCTTGTACAGTCGGTCAGGTACACTTTTTTATTGAGCAAATGAGGCCATGTACAGTTGTCACTGCCCCTCTCTCTCTCCTTGTGAAGAGTGGCTGACCTTGAGTCTGCCCCTCTCCTCTCGTTATCTTCAGGAAACCTGTAGTAGGTTGTGTGAAGCACAGTGATAATGTCACTGCTACTTTTATTTGATAATATCTAGCAAAACTGTCTATTACTATTGAGAAATATATTGAAATTAAAGTGTTTGTGCCCGAATTTCAGTTTTAACCCAACCTTTGTCTTTAGTGTAACCCTTAAAGTTGACCTATACTTAAAGTGGGCCTTGCCACTTTTGATGGGCAGCTTACCCTGTAAAAGAACTTGAAAAATAATGGGCCTACTGGCCAGATCAATGGGTAATGAAACTATGTTACGGGGGGACTCTGAAAAAACAAAAACTGTTGTATTTATACTAGTAACAGACTGTATAAATTATGTATTTTTTTATATTGCCCATACTTCCACTGGAAGAACAAAGTTTCCTATATCTAGGGCCAGTTTAATTATACAGTAAATGCATATATGTCCCCAAAATGGCTAATATCATATTTATCAGTGTTGAGATTTAGGGGTTGATTTACTAACCTTATAAACACGCCACGAACAAGTATACACCTCTGTAGTGTGTTCCCTCCCAGCATGATCTATTGGTGGAATCTAGACACCTTTGTAGTGTGTACACACCCAGCAGGTGTGTTGTGCAAAGCCCTGCATGAATTGCAAGGTGATGTTGTGTAAATTAGCTCTACATTGTGTTGCTTGCGTTGATGAATGCAGGAATGTAAATGCATGAGCTAACCATTTTTGTCAAAACTGTGAAGCAGCATTATATATGCATCATGTGCATGATTTTTCCATATATGGCATTAGTGGAAATATGCTTTTAGAGACTTTTTGGTTGATAAATACGTTTTGCTGTGTAAAAATCACACGCACCTAGTGCGTGCGTGTGTTTAGGTTAGTAAATCACCCCCCATGTGTCTGTATCAACATTTTACAGGGTCAAATACCTACATGCTGAATCAAGAAGGTTAGGATACTGGGTTCAATTTATAATTTGTTGTTGAAACATCCTGTACTATTAAACTTTAATTCCTGTTGTATTAGCAGTCTCAAGCTCCACTGACATGTCCTATGTTGATCTGGATGCTACAACAACAGCATTGCCTATCCATGATGAAAGCATCTTGTACGCTGGATTGATTTCACAACCACCCTCTTTTCAACCCTTAACGCAGTGGACAACATGTCCAGAGTACATTTCTCATGAAAGTGTTAGCTGTCCTTATACAACGGATATGTATGTTCAGCCAATGTGTCAAGGTTATACAGTGGTTGGCCCACCTTCTGTGTTAACATATACTTCACAGCCTCTTCTAACAAATTTTACAGTAAGTATGCGTTTACTACATTCCTGGGAAAACAGCGTTACAGCGTTTTTGTAAATGTGGATGTATGTATAATAATCTGTCATTATTTTTTTTATTTTTGAAATAGATGAACAATTATGTTCAATTTTGGTAAAAAGGAAATATTTAATTTAGTCATAATTTTTAGGTCAAAAATAGATTGCTTTTCAATTATCAGATTGCACATCAGTAATTGTTACAATGTTTTGGCGTAGGCATCATTACTTACTGGGGTTGATTTACTTAAGACATTTAACCTGATCACTTAGCAAAGTGAATATTCACTTAACTAGTGGATTAAGTAAAGTTGTGCTCACTTGCGTATAAAAATCTTGTTTTTGTAATTTCCCTGACTGGGTATTAAAATTGGACACAGATTCATCCTATTTTGGCATATTACGTGTTATAGGTTTACCAGAAGATGAGTAATATTTACATCATGCATTCATATTGTAGCTTAGAGAAGGCTCTTATTGCTGACCTCTGTGTCAGAATGCTTTCTTCCTGACCATTTGGAAGTCAGAATTCCTGATCAGCGGACTTGTCTTGGCTCAGAGTCTCAGGGGTTGATTTACTAACCTTTTAAACACACCACGAACGTGTATACACCTCTGTAGTGTGTTCCCTCCCAGCATGATCTATGGGAGGAATCGAAACACCTTTGTAGTGTGTACACACCCAGCAGGTGTGTTGTTCAAAGCCCTGCAATGAATTGCAAGGTAATGTGGTGTAAATTAGCTCTATGTTATGTTGCTTGCGTTGATGAATGCAGGAATGTAAATGCATGAGCTAACCATTTTTGTCTAAACTGTGAAGCAGCATTATATATGCATCATGTGCATGATTTTTCCATATATGGCATTAGTGGAAATATGCTTTTAGAGACTTTTTGGTTGATAAATACGTTTTGCTGTGTGAAAATCACACACACCTGGTGTGTGTGTGTGTTTTAGGTTAGTAAATCAACCCCTCAGAATCTATTGCAGCTTTGGGTGTACATAATAGCCATCAATTGCCATTCCAATGATATTAGAGTCCAAAATGATTTATTTTCTCATAAAAAATCCATGATAAAATACCCCCATTTTTTGGAAGTTTCTACAGTACTCCCTTTATCAGGCCTTGAGGCCCTTTTACAACTAACTTCTGATTCCTGCTACAGAATAAAAAAATCAATCGTATCCCTAAATGCTCTATGTTCCTACTCAAGGCACTTCTTAAGGCCCCAACAGCTGCCTAGCCAGAGCTACTGCACACTATAAAATAGATTTTTCTTTATGACTAGTAGTGGTATTGATAACCTATAAGTCTTCTCCTCAAAACTCCAGCCAAGTGCTAACAAGTGCTAGACTCATATGTACCTTCAATGTCATAACAAGGAAGCTTATGTGCCAACAACAGTGGAAGGTAAGATATCATGTTTGATCCCAGGGAAGTGGAAAAAGGTATCCTTTGGATCTTAACCCTGTTTACTATATAGCAAATAAAGTAAAAGAATGAAACAGACACCTTAAAAAGATATTTCAATTAGAAATAACCCCTTTTACAGCTTTGCTATGGTTTAAATGATTCCTGGTGCCTTATTTTCATTGTTGAACTACACCAAACAATGTACTCATGGTTAGAAATAAACAATTAATCTGGTCTAAGAAAGCCAGTTTTAGATCTAAGTGGGCCATTCGGTATGCCCAGCAACATGTAGCTATTTGTTTGTACTGTAGCTGCAGAAACATGCAATAGCTAGATGTATATACAGTAGAAGCAACAAAGTTGTAGGCAATGCTTTCCTTAGATGCTAAACAAGTGTAGCATTCTTCTTTGCTAACACTTATATGGTTACAAGTAACAAGAAGTTTGAAAAGGAGGAAAAGGTATGAGAAGAACAGACTTAGTGGGTCTCTCATCATCCTTCAATTGCTGTTAAAAAGTTGCTCATCAATTGACTGCCATTATTGCAAGCCTAACTAAAGTACAGTCCTGGCCAAAAGTTTTGAGAATGACACAAATATTAATTTTCACAACGTCTGCTGCTTCAGTTTTTTCTGAATTTGATGATCCGATAAATGGTTGATTTAGGTGCAATCTTAGTAGCAGCAATATCCTTGCCTGTGAATTGCTTTCTGTGCAAAGCAGTGATGACTGCACGTGTTTCCTTGCAGGTAACCATGGTTTACAGAGGAAGAACAATGATTTCAAGCACCACCCCCCTTTTACAGCTTCCAGTCTGTTATTCTAACTCAATCAGCATGACAGAGTGGTCTCCTGCCTTGTCCTCGTCAACACTGACACCTATGTTAACAAGAGAATCACTGACATGATGTCAGCTGGTCCTTTTGTGGCAGGGCTGAAATGCAGTGGAAATGTTTTTTTGGGTGGATTAAGTTAATTTTCATGTCAAAGAGGGACTTTGCAATTAATTGCAATTGATCTGATCACTCATCATAACATTCTGGAGTATATAGAAATTGCCTTCATATAAACTGAAGCAGCAGACTTTGTGAAAATGAATATTTGTGTCATTCTCAAAACGTTTGGCAAGGATTGTACATCTAAAACCTAACTGAACAACATTTAATTTACTAAAGCATTGTCTATCATAAACAATTGCCAGAGTTTTACTTGATAAATACTGTTTGTTTTACCTTTTTTAACACCCTTTGTTGCATTTTAGTGCTACTCATGTCCTCCAGCCTCTTTCAGCCACTTCCTGTGTACATGCACTCTTTCCAAATTCATTCAATTCATGGCTTCCACATCATTGCTCAGGATCAGGTTTCCTGATAAAGACAACAGTGGACCTTGCCTGTGCAATGTTTTAGCGGCATGTCTACTTTTAGTCTCTACCAGGGGTGCATGTAACATGGTGACAATGAAGGATACCAATTGACAGAGAGTTGTCACTCTGGAAGTGCCTGAACAAGGACCGTCATGGCAAGATCAATGAGAGCTGAGTATTTAAATGTACAGCCTCGATCTTAGGGCAGAAAGGGAAACGAGATCCCGGTGGAATCAACATAATTGGATATCCAATCCTTGACAGTCACGATAGCTGTGACAAAAAAATACATTTACTTTCTTCAGGTGATTAAATGTGTGTATATATGCCCAGGTTCCAACCACTGAATGGCAGATCACCCAAAGCTTCTCCACGACCTCTCCACACAAAGAATGTACTGTGGCAGCACAGCTCCCGACAAGAACCGCAGCGAGGTCCCTTTCAAAGAATCAAAAGTTACAGATCAGTTCTCATAAATATTTATAAATAATAAACATTGGTTAAGGGTTTGGTGATCAGGATAAAAGATGTTTTAGTATGAAGAGAACATTTTACCATTGTATATGAGTAGCATTTCAATAGAGTGCAGCTCCATAATCGGAAAACACTGAGTTTTTGCATATATATATATATGTATTAGAGATTAGAAATAAGGAGGGGGAGGGGCCGGAGGCCCATATCCCAAGCAAAAAATATTCTCAAAAATATATCGGAGCGTGTATACAATTTGACAAGCATCTTAGACTAGTATTGTTTACAATTTTTTTGCAATTTTTATGAGAAAAAACAATATATTATATATTGGTATTAACTTATATCTAGATTTATACAGATATAAAAGGTCAGAATGACAGTATATGCAAAGGTTTCTATATCTAAACATACATGAATGATGGTATTCTAGAACGGTTCTACTGGGGTATATATAACTTATAATATCACAACATCAGAGTATATATACAGTTACATCATTTCATCATTTTAATAGGACTGAAGAGCTGTGTGGTTTCAGGCAGAGTTGTTGTTTATATTACTTACGTTATTGTAAAGGGGAAGGACGAGGGGAGAGGGTGTGTGGGAAGGGAGAGGAAGGTTTTTTGACACGTAAGGTGTATTTGGTATTCATATACTGACTTTGTCTTAGAGAAGATCATTACTGCATGGATATGTATCCATGTAGATGCTACTGAAGGAAGGCTCTATAGCTTATGGTTTCGTTGAGACCAGGGAAGTTTGTGGCATTAAGATAGTATATCTATTTTGTCTCCTTTTGGAGTAAAAGTTTATCTCGATCTCCACCCCGAATGTTTTCGGGTATATGCTCAAGAATAGAGAAAGAGATTTTTTTAGAATCAAAATTATGATTAAGGCCTATATGGCGAGAGACGGGGGTGGTTAACTTGCCGTTGTTTATAAGGTAGATGTGATCATTGATGCGTTTCTTAAAAGGTCTTATAGTTTTACCTACATAGAAGGCCTTACACTCACATAGCATCAAGTACACCACCCCCGTCGTTTCGCAAGTATAGTGCCCTATAATGGTCCCATTTTTTTTGCGGTTCACAGTATTCAACCTCCTTTTAAGTAACTTTATCTGACTCACTTAGTTTCTTCATCTACAATCACTCTTGAGTTTTCACTGAGCATTTATAGTATACAACCATGGGACCCTTATCTCACCGCTGGCCATTTTTCGGATGATTTGATACTTTTTATCACGATTGTTTCTGTTTCTGTTTCTGTTTTTTGTCCTCTATGGCATACTTTTTGGCTCACTCAATTGTGTTCCACTTTTTTACCACCAGTGTTTCCAATCAATTAATGATGACTCTCCCTTTATTTCACATTCAATCTTAGAGATTATTCCTCTCTCCACAATTACCTTTGTCTTTACTAACTATCTTTAACCATTACCACTTTCCCCCTATGTTTGACCACTCAATAAGGACTTATTTCATTCAATTCATCTTTACATTCGTCATTACCCCTTCCATTACCCCACATTTAATTTACACACTTTTACACATAGATATTATTACATTCCTACGTCTATCACATAAATTCCCATATACTAGTTTTTCATCACCCCTGTCCTCTTCGCTTTTCCTTTTTTCCTCCCTTTTCTGTCGCTTACTCCCCCTTGGAACTAATGACCACTACACATATGTAATTTTAGCAGAACATTATAGCCTCGAATCTAACAACGTCTGCTGTTGCTGCCTCTCGCCTGACGATTACAGTGTGCTATCTCCAACGCGACCCCTCCACCTGCTTCGTGTGTGGCAATCCCTGCTCGACAGAATCAATTCCGGTCTGAACACAAAACAGTTGCTCCTATCACATTCGTGTCCTTGTGCCTTTTGATCAATTGATCGTGAAGACATATATACGTAAGCATCCAACATTCTATCTTTAATATTATTGCATCTAATATGATTGGCTTAATGAATGTAAATGATGATTCTGCTATAAAATTAGGTGCGGCTCCCTAATCTCATCACATGTGGGTTTTTCCTATTTTCTACTCCAGGACACATATATATTTTTCCTCTGCTCTCTTCCCCTGAAGAAGCCCCGTTTGGGCAAAACATGTTGGGACATACAGGAGCACTCATGTAATTTCGAAAACAAGCAACTGCAGATCCTATAACTGTACGGTATCGTCACCGGATGGTGAATGCATCCGCATATGTTTTATCTGTGATTTTTCTTTGATCTTTTTTTTTTTTTTTATAATGTTCAAAACGATATTTCAAATAAATATTTTTCTAAGATTTTATCTCTGAGGTCTGGGATTGTTTTCTAAAAAGCCCCTCTTCCTTTCCCTCTTTGGGCATTTGCACACCCCACTGGGGAAATATCCTCCTTTCTGAGTATTTAAATGGATTGAAAACACCGTTTGGAATTACATTAACATATTAAAACTTTGATGAGATTTTAGTGATTAGTTTTAAAAATATCTTAACTTCATTTTAGTCTATTTCAGGGTAATATAAAATATGGCAATAGAAATGATACCTATGGCCAGAATTAGCATATTTTGATGGGTTAATGTGACAATTTCATATTGTGTGTTTTTTTAAATTCTGTGATGTAATTATAAAATATGTTTTCTTTGCAGACACGAAATAGCACTCAGTGTGTTGCTACTCAGTTAGAATATGCCGATCAGCAAGCTTCGCTAACTTACTTCCCATGGGCTCAGCCAATTCCATCCTTGCCAACAGCAACTCATTCTATACCCTACCAAGCAACAGCAACCACATTCCAAAGCCCACAATTTGTCCCAATACCAATTTCTTTACCAGATCCTTTGCCAGAAGAACTGAATGACTCAAGGCAAGCCATCAACAATGTGCCAATTGAAAAAATATTACATGGAGAAGAAGGGAGTGACTCATATGTTCTTCATCATACTCTGTCTATTGAAGGGCTTTAATTGATGTCTTCGGTGAAATAATTTTTTCTGTATTAAATAGCTTTTGATTTGACATTTTCTGATCCAGTTCATAATAAGTAAAGATAACATTTTATAATCCATTATTTAAATGGTCAGCCCACCCAAAAGTGATAAATCAGATTTTGGTCGATGCTGAAGAGTTAAATAGCCTGTCTATTTATAATATTGCATAGAGGCTCTATTAGTGAGATATGTGCGCATGAGTTTCTGAGTCAGTATACCTGCTGTTACAGGGAGGTACGGCTGGGCCATGAGTGGAACCCCTTGGCAGGGGCGGCAAGCCCAAATCCGAGGTCGTGGTACACAGGGAAAATCCAAGAAGAATAGTCAGGTCCAATCCGGGTCGAGGCAGGCAGCTAGTTTCAGTAACGGAAGGGTAAGCCAAAGGGTCGGTAATCAGGAGTCCAAGCAGAGGTTCAGGACTAAAGACAGGTTCAAGGCACAGGGAGGTGGGAGATCACACCATAGGGATAGAATAACTCAGCAATGAGCCAGGGCTCTGACTGGGCTTTTATACTCAGTGGAGGATTGAGACCACTCCCCGGCTACCGAGGCAACCAGGTAGCCTCTCCATCAGGAGCCAATGGCGAGAGAGAGGCAGAGGGTGTGTGCTGGGAACCTCCCCCAGCAAGGATCACACCTGACACCAGTTACAGGCACACTACGTGCGCGTCCCCGTGCCTGCACGTGCAGCATGTCCACTTGTCGCGCATGCGTAATTGCAATCCTGGTACCAGGGGTCCTGCCAGGAAGGGAAACTTGTGCCCCCCACCGCACATGGCCACCCTGAGTAGAGGTAAGCCCCCTAGTACCCTGACATGCTGTGACCATTCGTACTCTCCATCTAGGATTATTTATTTATGCTATATTATGAGGCATGAAAAATCTTCTAGTAGAAAGGTGGCAATTAACAGAACATAGGAATCATAGTAGGGAAATCTCAAAATTGGATTATTCAAAGATATATAATAAGCCAGTCAAAAAATATAATTTTTTTGGTGGACAGACCCTTTAAAGCTTGAAAAATGAAAGACCAGTTCCCTACTATAGGATAGCTTTTATACTCACCTTTTAAAAACCCTGTGTCTCCTACCATGTTTATGTTGCAGTTCACTTTCAGACTCTTTAACATTTGACACAACCAGAAGTTGGATGTCTGCATCCTCAGGCGATTGCTTTGGCTTTTCTTGCAACCCCTGTAATGACACAGGGGTCAAAGTGGAAACCACAGCACATGGCAGGGGGACTGGCATCCTACTCACAGGCTTTTGGGGATATACAAAATGCTAATTAGTTATTGACAATTCCCACTCCTTGCTTATTTAGCTGCTTCACTTGACACAAGTTAGCACAGTGTAATATAGTGTTGTCTACAGTTTCTTTAGTCTTCGACTCTGTAGACAGCTCTTGAACAATAGCGCAAGCAGGATTCAGTATAATATATATTTAATACCTTATATAAACATTCAGGTTTATTCACGGAGGCAAGCATTAATATGAAAATTACAGTTAACACAAGCAATCCCTCAGAAAGTTATTCCACTGACCTGATGAAAGCTGAAATTTGATTATTTGCTGTGGATTATTTTAACACTGTATGTCAACATTATTGTTGCATTGCTTTATTGGTTAAGCCTATACTAGTTAAATTGCAAGAGTCACATTCCGATGTTTTATACACGTTTTATTCAACCTTATACATTTGAACTAAGTCCAATGCTACTTTATGGCTAGCACCACAAGTTGTGTCCATGCCATCTAAACACAATGACACAGCCTATGCATTTCTTACCCTAAAGTGTATCTCAACCAAAAAAACTAAAATTTTGCAGCTTACCAGTCCTTAGATGAGGTGGTTGCATAAGTTTTTTCAGCCTTTTTTACTTTTATTTTCACCTAGTAATAACATACGTCTGTCCCTTGATGGCTAATTCACTCACTATATTGTATCTTTGAAGATAGCAATGGTTGTCATCTAGGCTGCTCTCATAATATGGACTACAAACATGTCCTCATCACTTCATCTCCATTAAATGGGGGGATGGCAGAGGGTAGTTTACAGATGATATGCTCCAGTGCAACTTACAGTAAGTGTGAAGGACACTGGTAAGGGGATAAATAATTGGGAAGACCTTCTAAAAGGGCCTTCTCCTCCATGCTTTGCTTGGAGCAGATGTGTGAGTGAGGAATCCAGTAATTGCCTGGTAAGGGCGAGAAGAATCCAGTGGACATTTGCCTCCAAGTCCTACTGACTGGGGAGAACACAGTTTAAGAGCCAAGGCCCAAGGAATGGAAGTTGTGACCTGGGAACACAGGAAGGTGGCTACTAAAGGAGGAACACCTTCAGAATAGTTCTGCTTAGTCTGTTGCTGGTTTCGGCTTAAAAATCCACTATTACAGATTTCTGATCTCAGCTTGAAGGTCCACTAATAGCATGTGTGAGGGGCTGAAGATATTTAAGGGTAGCTGTCTAACTCGGCTACCTAATCTACAGTAACTTGTGGCAAATGCATAAGACTTCAAACTTACCCTGTGACATAGGTTGAAGATACTACAGGAATCTACTGAGTATAGGATTGCATTTAGAGCTCAGGATGGTTACTGCTTCACTACAAAAACTAAATGTGGAGTAGAGACACTCCAGCTTAGGGCAGGGTCCCTGCACAACTCATAACAAGCACACCTGTTTTAGGACTGTACACATACAGGGAAAAAAGCTTGAAAAAAACTAATCAAAGGACTAGTATGTTGTAATATATTAACTTTTTGTTTTTCAGATTTGAAATGTTGATTGAGAAGATTTTCCTGTTATGTTTAAAATGCTGTCTGTATCTCCATAGAGATGATCTCTATTTTATTCCTATTCTATGTGATACCTGTCTTCTGGCCAAGAAGTGAGAGGAAATCTCCCCACACATGCCACAAAAACATTTTGACAGAGGCAGTAAACCTTTCTCACTCTGAAAGAAACACACTGCTAGAAAATGCACTTTAACTTCTGCATGTGCCCCCGTTGGGGTGATTTCCCAGCACTTCTTGTTCTGTCTGACACTCATGAAATGGACAGGAAATTAAGAGAGCTTCCCTTCCTTCCTGTTCAGTCTGACACCCGTGAAATATGTATTAAAGTTGAGGACACAGACAGGAATATAAAGCTAACCGAAGTTCTAACCTTTCTGTATGCTAGTCAAAACTTAAAGGATGTTTTGGCTGCAGTTGGATTAAAGCCCCGATCCTATTTGTGCATTTACCAGCAGTACAACAGTATACTCTACCACTCTACCAAATAACAAAATGCAATAGATAAGGTAATGTTTTCCCACATTACTTTGCATTTTTAGGACAACAGGAATGGTTGATTACAAAAGTATATTTATTATCCATCTGAACTATGACAGGGGCTTATTGTTTATGAAAGGGAAATGTCAAAAATATTAACTTGCATTAATCCATATAAAAAATATGAATTAAGACAAACATGGCTGTCCCACATTACAAATATTCCGGCACAAGGAAGAGAAAGGGCTCTTAATGTGGCCATTACCACCATAATTTTTACTCAATTTAAAAATTGGTGGTCATTAAAGCACAGAGAATGTGTGCTTAGGAAAATTAATGTTTAGCTAGCTTAGTGAACATATAATACCAAATCATATGTAATAAAAATTAACAAAAAAGTATTTTTGCTTGGACATGATTGGTTGATTAACGTGAATGCAGATTCTCCTTACTAAGCTAAGACAACAGTTGCTATGTCTTTGTGAGTGACAATATTGCAAGCATTTCACTAATAGCATTCTTAGGGCTATTAGTGAAAGTTTCTTACTATCAGAAATACTTATTATTGCACAGACAGATTTTTCAACTTGTTAGAAAACATTAAACTGGCTCTAAACAAAGTAGTTAAATCTTAAAAATGCATGCAAGTACCTTAACTATTAACAAAACTGTACCTTATGTGTGTATCACAAACCTGTAGATCCTCAAATCGTCTCTGAATTGGTGCTGACACTGTCCTTCCTTCTGGAGGGTGGCTACTTTTGTTTCCCATGGTCCTTGCGTGTGTTGTGAAGTAGCCACTGCTCCAAGCCTGTGGTAGACTACAGTTTCAATACAAATTAGTAAACTAAACATGAGATTGTAGTCCGTCATGGGAGCGAGCTTGGAGCGGTGGCTCATTTACAACACACACAACGACCATGGGGAACAAAAGTAGCAAGTAAGCCCTCATTCACACGAGTAACAGCCGGCCCGTACAGATCCGTGCTGCGTGCGCGGCCGTTCCTGGGAAGGACAGGTGCAGTGTGTGATTATATGCAGCAACCTGTTCTTCTCTATGGGAGTATGCGGCCGTAGGCCGCCCTACGCTCACCCTAACTGCACGTCCGTGTGGGTGTCCGTACTCGTACACAGACAGGATGGATCACACGCAGCACCTGTCCTTCCCGGGAGTGGCCCCATACGGCCGTGCACGCAGCACAGATCTGTACAGGCCGGCTGTTACTCGTTTGAATGAGGGCTTAAAGTCAAGCTTTTTATAAGGACCTCTGACCTCTTTAAAGTACAATAAGGTTTAATATTTTGATTGGTAGGTATAAATTGTGTACTTAGAAACTACCTAAATCAACAGATTCCTTCAGGGATAGAGTATGTCAATATGTATGTAGTTGCATTAAAGCAAAACTTAAAGTACAACTAAAGCCAAAACATTTCTTTTAGTTTTGGATTAAGCAACAGAGAGTTATAATCCTTGTCAACTTTTTTGTCTTTGTAACACATTGATGAGGTTTCCCTTCACTTCCTGTCTGATAGCAACAATAGGAAGTAAGAGGAAATCCATCCAAAGAAAGGGAAATCCTGGTCACCAAAACTAGTCCCCATTGGAAGATTTCCTATCTATTCCTGTTCTGGGAACAACCCAAAATATGAGATTTTCTTACACTTTCAGTGCTAACAGTCACCAGGGCAAATAGAGAGGA